TTGATAATTCAGTAAGGATTTTATTTAAGACTCTCTTCTGCTAGATTTTAAGATCTTCCAAATAAACATCTGTGCCATTAATTTATACATTTATTCTTCGATTTAAGTTCAAGTAACTACTTGAATGATGTACACTATATAAGTTGTTAGAGGTATAGAAGTCTCTCTCCTGATGGATTTTATTGTCCATTTTCTTATCTTTGAGTTCTTTCTGCATAAAGCACAAATATTTATTGAATTAACCTAAATACAGGATTTTTTTTTGCATTTATAGTATTTGCTTTTTATGAGGTTGGAGAGGTGATATAGAATATCTGGTATATTTCTGGAATTAAAATTAAACCTCAAATCTTGTCGTATCTGGGTATGTGAACTGATATTTTCTACCATCATAAATTTTTTAAATATTAATGGAATTTAAATTGTATGGGAACTATATTAGTTTTCAATTTTTTTTAATGAAATAGTCTGATAAAAGACTTAATTTGGCAAATTTTTAAAAGTATCCCAGGATTACCCATCTTGAAAGGATTCTTCTAAATCATGTGTTGTCACTCATTCTTGTTATAATTGAGAGAAAACTTGAGGTGCAAAGTGATACTGGGTTCATACAGTAAAATTAATTCTTGATGTGTTTATGTAACATATATATTTCATACTTAAATCTATAGGAATAGGTTCATTAAAATTGATTACTCGTAAAACAAATACTGCTGTTTTTAAAACTCTATGTGAAGAGACGTTTGTGTAATAATGATTACCCATGTAAACCAGTTACTGAAGAGCTGAGATTTAAATTGGTGAGTGAAGCCACACTATCAAAGTGAGCTCATCTGCATCTACCTTAATGACATTTCAGTGTTGCTATTGTAGTAGTGTCATCTTTTAAATTCACAAACTTACATCCACAGCTTTCATTACATTCTTAAAGATATTTATTATAATTTATAAACATTAAAAAAAAACCAACAGTTCCAAAGTAGAATCAGCCGTTCCATTATGTAAACCTATAGAGTAAGGGTATCTGACAATACCAGAGCTGGCTGCATGTGGAATAACTGGACTTCTCCTATGCAGCTGATAGAAGTGTAAGAGGTGAATATATGCATGCCTTATGATCTGGCAGTTTTGTTTCTGTTCATGTGTACATGTATACCAGAAAACACATCTAAGAATCTTCGTAGCATTACTTGCAAAAGTCTGAAACTAGAAACAACTCAAATGTCTATTAGCAATAGGGTAGATTTTACTGGTCATATATTTATACAGCGGAATACTGTATAGCCATAAAAGCCAACTATCAGCTGCTACAGACAACAACACAGACTAATTTCAAAACAGTGGTAAAAAGAATACATTTATATGAATTTCAAAAGCAGATAAAATTAATTTATGCAAAAGACAGTGGCTACCTTTTGAGGTAAAGCATAACAAAGGCCTCTTGAGTGCCTTTCTTAGCCAGGGCACAGTTCATATTGTGAAAATTCACTGAGCTCTCCCATTGTGACTTGTACACTTTTCTATTGAATGTTAAACTTCAATTTTAAAATGTTTTTAAAGGTGCAGGCACTAGTTGCTATAATCCATTTGGAAAATAGAATAGAAAAAATTATTTGCAAAACAAGTAGATAGAGCTGATATCTGTAATGTAAGAAAGAGCTTCTAGGTGGTTATAAGGGAAAGACAAACAGCCCAAGAGCAAAATAGTCTAAGAATATAAATACATAGTTCAGAAAACTAGAAGTTAAAGTGGCCAATAAATCTGTGAAAATATGCTCAAGTCCGGCAGTCATCTCACATTAAAATAATTATAATACTCGTGTTGACAGTTGGGTCTAAGAAAATAGATTAGAAGGGTATGTTCTCTCTAGCTTTGGAAATGTGAATTTGTCTTTAAATATAAAATACACATACCTTCAACCCAGCAGTTTCATTCCTGGGAATAAATTCCATAGACATAAAAGCCTCACACATATTTTTATTCCAACTTTATTTTAATAACATAAAACAAGAACCTGAAATCAACTTAGATGCCCATTAACAAGGAGATAGTTTAATAAATTGTACTTTACAATAATGAAATATTATGCAACCATTAAAGAGATCATTATTAGTTCATTTATGTGTATATATGTAATTGAGAAAAACAAAATGCCACAAAGATACATACAGTATGATATCTCTTTCATAAACAATAATAAAACTCCTACGTATGTATATGTAAGTTTGTATATGATTTTATATTCATGAAGAAAGATGTGAAAGGCTTTACACCAGCCTGTCAACACTGATTACCGGGGAGAATGAGTGGAAGAGGATTGACAAAATAAAGGTCTTGGTAAAAAAAAAGGATGCAATGTAAGTCCACTGACACAAAAGTTTTGAAATTATATATATATATATATATAAATCTCAGTGGTTAAATGCTGCAACTTGGCTTTTGTTAACCTGAGGTCTGGGTTGAGATCCTTTTAAAATCAGGATGCCTATTTCAATGGTTAATCTCCCACCTGCATCTCTAGACTATTCAGAACAGCTACTACATCAAAGAGGTCTGTGTTTAATTTATATCTTAATATCTTGGTGTAAAGGGCCTTTGGGCCCTCTTGGGGGGGGGCATGATTTAATATTTTAACACTCTCATCTCCTTAAGTGTTTGGATTTCTCCTCTGTATTATGTTGAGAAATGTCTGACATCTCAGTAGGCTTTCATGAAGTTCCATTCTTGAGTTCAGGCTTCAACAGTCAATCAAACTTACTTCTAAATATTGGAGCTACTACATCATAAGTAGAATCCTGATAAATGCTCTTACATTCATAGGTTGAATCCAATTAAAAATAATATAAAATTCTATTTATCAAAATTCAGTCTTCATTTGTAATGTTCATTTAATTATCCTATCCTATGCCAGAGTCTGTTTAAAACCTCTTTAAAAAACATTTGTTATTCATTTTTCTATTTCTTGTGGTGCCTGTACATATAAATGCTTGGTAAATACTTATTTGAATGAAGACAATGATGACAAGATCATTGTGGACTCCCGCAATGGCAGTTCTCATTGTGTGGGTGTACACCATGCACTGCAAGGTGTTTACCATCTCTGGCCCCTGCCTCGCTCAAGGCCTATAGTACTTTTCGGTCGTTCCAACAAATAACATTCCACCCCAACTTCCAGCACTCCTTTTTGGATGTGGCAGGGAGGCAGGGGGTGTTGGCATTGATACTGTCCTTGTTGAGAATCACAGGGCTAGAGGAATTGAAGTCTTTCTGAGGATGGTAGTGCCTATGCTAAACCTCGAAGGATGAGTAGGATTTTAAAACCACAGAAATTGGGGCACAAGCAGCGTATAAAAGAGGGAGCAACATAGCGTAAATACCATCTTCACAGATGAAATGGCATGTCTACATTGAATGAAACGGCATGTCTACGTTGAAAAAGAAAGTTGGACAGGTAGAATGAAGTTAGAAGGGTGTTGCTAAGGAGTCTTACAGAGGTGAGAGGAGAGGGAAGTGCTGTTTCTCTCTAACGCAACTCACATACTGCTGCCAAATTAATTTCCTAAAGCACTGCTCTGTTCAGCAGTCCACTTAAAATTGCCTGCTAGTTTTTACATCTTTGCTCTGTGCTCAAGGTGTTTTATCTCTTCATATTCATCCAACTTTATCTGTACCACTCCTTAAAATTAATTAGGTGTGTCTGGCCGGCTGATTAAAATAGTATTTCCTTCTTTGTCAATATGCTCACTTCATGCTTTTTTTTTTTTAATGTCTTTCCTCCTATGTCCATTCTATCATCATTCTACCTTTTCAACTTCTTCCTACTCTTGGAAGGCTTCTCTCTAGTGGAACTGGCCCATGCATTCACACCATCCTGATTCTCTCCTTCCTCTTGCTTACAGTATTTATGGTTTGTCCTACAGTATTTAGCATACAATTGTAGATGGCTTTTCATGCCTCTCCTTCTTCTTTCTCTGAATAATTTTTATTCTTCTAAAGAGATGTATGGGATTAAGATACAGAGATACAAACCTCACAATGTATTTTAAACCTCCAAAGCAGGTTTTTATTTCTTGGTCAATTGATAAAAGCTATTGCCTTTTGAGTGAAATATTTGAGATAGTATTAGATACTGAGCACCCTGAAAAATGTCTTTTTATATTTAAATTATTGTAGTGATTATAGAAATTTGGATATCATACTAAATCATAGCCCAATCCTAATTTTAGAGCAATACTGGTTTCATGTTATTTAGTTGAAGAAGAATAACTACTACCATATTTTGATCCTTTGTAGTTTTTAAACTTTTTCTTCTCCTTATTCTTTGCCCAAATGACATCTTACCCAGGATCTTACTATAGAATTAAATGCATTCCTTTGCTGAAGTGAGAAGACAGAGGTGGAAAGCAACTGGGGCCTCACCTTTGTTCTCCTCCCTCCTCATCTCCCATGCAAAGAGCACTGCTTGAAAAATCACTACAACTCATGGAACTTAAAAAAATGCTTATTTTAAAAAAAAAACATTGTTTTTGTGATATCTCTTTTGAGGACTGAGTGTAAAAATAGAAACACGTTAATTTTACAGTGATTTTTAAGTACAAAGAAAAATGCTCAGGAACAAATGTCGTGTTTCAGCAATAAAAGAGTTAATATACTAAGCAGCAAGGACAGCGCTTTCTGTCTCTGTCATTTGTGGTTTAAGGAAGGGGGTAGTGTTCTGCATTTGAAAGGACTTTAATGAATGCTGTCAGTGTTTGTGAGAGCTAATGGTCAGTATGGGAAAGGGGAGCAGGGGAAAGTGCTCTAGCTGCTTCAGGATAGGTGGATGAGAGTTTGCTCTGATTGAACGGAATGTTCCACCGTGTTTCATCTTTATTCATTAGCCTTTGTTCTTTATAATCTGATATAGTGGTATAAAAGTGAATGCAGATATATATGTGAATGTGATTTATTTTCCTTTCAATCTGTTTATTGTGTACAGCAGGGCATATACTTCTCTTGTCTTGGTTGGATGCACAAATCTCTGTGCAGTGCTTTTTGCCCGTTGCCTAGACGATCACTTGGTTTCTCTGAGGATGTCTGGTTCTCGTAAAGAGTTTGATGTGAAGCAGATTTTGAAAATCAGATGGAGGTGGTTTGGCCATCAAGCATCATCTCCTAATTCTGCAGTTGACAGCCAGCAGGGAGCATTTTGGAATCGAGGACAGACTGGAGCAAACGGTGGGAGAAAGTTTTTAGATCCATGTAGCCTGCAATTGCCTTTGGCTTCAATTGGTTACCGAAGGTCCAGCCAACTGGATTTTCAGAGTTCACCTTCTTGGCCAATGGCATCCACCTCTGAAGTCCCTGCCTTTGAGTTTACAGCAGAAGATTGTGGCGGAGCACACTGGCTGGATAGACCAGAAGTGGATGATGGCACTAGTGAAGAAGAAAATGAATCTGATTCCAGTTCATGCAGGTTGATTATTTTCTTACTGTTAGAAATGGGGCGTGGGGATATATTCTCTATAATGTCTTAAAGTAAGTTAATATTATATTTAAAACTTATGAATCTATATGGCTATGCCTCTACATGCATACACATGTATAATATTCTGGTATGTATATGTGGTAGTTTTGGTATTTAAAAAATATTCTAATTTTAATTTTAATTCTGTAAAATTATAAAGACAACAAATAGCATTCATTTGGAAATATCTTGTATTCCATATATGGATCTGGCTCTGTCTTGAAGAATACGTAGGAGCAGTTTTATGCATCATTGCCTTGCAGTTTGGTTCATTCTTTTACCTTCCTTAATCACAGCAAAACTATCAAAGACATTTCTATAGTACAGTTTTTTATGACATTTTAGTTTGCAACAGATTATAGAATCATTTTAAAATCTTAATGAAAATGAAAGATTTTACAAGGAAATAACACTGTAGTTGTCAATATTTTTCTTACACCATGTGGTTGTCAACAGTATTTTTCTTACGGTTATTTCTCTTTGTCTTGTCTATGTTGCAGCTCTCCAGACTAATACAGAGAATACAGTAACATGTCTTTTTCTAAGATGACAGCTACTAATTCCAGTTACCTTCACTTCACTGAAAATTGTGCTATTTAGGGAAATGAGGAACATTCCTTCAGGAGAGTTTAAGGGAATGTAGAGGGGTTAGATGTGGTCAACTGGTGAAGAGGGGGCACGAGGGGGAAATGAATTTGAGGAGAGAAAATAAAACATTGGAAATTTTATAATGATTTTTATCTATATTCATCCTTGGAATCTGGCTTTATCTTTGCAATGGATTTTCTTTTTAATGAGTAGCATACTACTGTAGCATATTATGTAACAAGTTAGAACATGAAAGTCATCTTTCTGATTCATCTACACTCAAATATTTCCAATTATTTAAAGGTGCAAATAGCTTATCATTTGTGTAGTTTGATTGTGGGTTCTTTTTCTTTTTAATAGATGAGATGGAGACAAAATGAGTTCATATATTCAAATATATCTTACTTGAGGATATTCACTGCCTTCTAACCTTTAGAACATGGAATTATGTAGTAGTGTTGGAATAATAGCACATATAGACCAGTCATATATAATCATTTGTATAATGGAGAAAAGGGAATATCTTCACATAGATAACTAGTGTATTTCATTTAAAATTTTTTAATTAGTTCATGACTTAACATTATCTTGAAGGAATAGGAAAAACTAATTTAATATGGAGATCAATTGAGTTAATGTGCTTTCATTGTTTTGGTTGTTTTTTTTTTCTTTTTCCTTTTTCTTTTTTTTTTTGAGACTTGTTGCTATAGGAGAATAATGTATATAGTAAAAGGTTCAGGGTTTATCACTTCTGTGGGAAACCAAAGAATAATTATTTTTTCCATTTGAAAATCAATATACTGTATAAAGAATATTTTAACAAAATTAGACAAAACAAGCCATTCATTTACCAGCATAAATTATAAAAATCTTAACATATATCTATGACTTGAAGAGATTTTACATATGTGATTATAAAATTTATATATGTGAATAATCTTGGAAAGGTTATACACACAGTGGTTACTATAATTCCTTTCAACAAAGGTAGTTTGCATACCTAATGATTACTGAAATGAAATTAATCTATTCTTTAGTATTCATATTTAAATATCTTGTTGGATTATTCATTATAAAGGAAAAAGATTGCCTTTTTTTACTGAGATTGCTATGTGCATACTTCAAGAATGTAAAATTGATATTTTTATTTATAGGAGATGTAAATGTAAGAAAATGATGTTTTTAAAAATCTGAAATGTAGTTGTTTTAAAAATTTTGGTCAAGGAGATTGATAATGTAAAAAATAAAATGGGAGTGAACAGTTCAAATCTATATAGCAACCAAACTATTTCTAAGATATTCAAAAATAGAATGTACTTAAATTGTCTCTGATTTTTAGATATAAGAGGAGAAATATGTCAAAGTAATTTCATTTTTCCAGTGCTTTAAAATTTCTATCTTAACATTTTATTGCAAAAAAACCAAACATTCTAGATTTTAGAAATGTCATTTGTGTATATTTTTTTACTTCTCCATTTTTCTAGATTAAATATATCTGATTCTTACATCTTCCGTTAGTCCTCTGGCTTTGAGTCTTTGATTTTTGTCCTACTTCTTTGCCACCAGCTTTTTGATTAAATGAGCATTCTCTTTAGGTAGTTGCCCTTCTACTATAAACAAATCAGAAACGATCACGGTTAATGTCAAAAGAAGCTATACAAATACTCATCAAATTTTTGTGTATAACTTGGGAATGACTCCTTTTCTTAAATAATATTTGCAAATAATAACATATATAGTAAACATTTTATGAGTAGACTATAGATTGATAAAATGTTGAAGACAGTGGGGAAAGACATCTGACATATGGAGAATTTCTTATTTAGGCAGTAATAATATTTATTATTTAGATCTCAAAACTTAAAGTGACATTTTCAGTTATTAGGAAAAGGAAGAACACTGGGTGGTTTTACACACACAGAATCCTAACACCTACAGTGGGTCTGGACAATTTAAAGCAGGACTTCGCGGGCATCACAGGTGGTTGATATGTATGATCAGTTGTGTGCTGGCTCAGAGAAATGTCTGCCTGAGAAGTAGCCTTCTGGTAGTTCCTGCTGCCGCAGACTTAAGTGAAGTAAAAGTTTCTCTTCTTTTAACTTTGATCTCGGGTCTATAGTTTAGCCACCTTTTCTCTATAGGAGTCATCTAAGTCATTACTTTGATATTAAAATACAAACTTTAGTTTTTTTATACCATGAGGAATTTTAGACCCTAGTAACAGAGTTGCCACTTTTTATGTGAACTTGAGGTTCGTAAGGCCTTAATTCATGATGAATTCTTAACAGAGCCAGCAGGTTTACACATGGCTCACCATGTGACTATGATACAGACAGACACGGTTTACACTTCACTTGATGTGCCAGCTTTGAAATTATGTAATTTTTGACATTTTAAGTTGGAGTAAATTCATTTCAAATTTTGTTTATAAAGTTAGACTTTAGTGCCAGGCTATTTTTTAATAAATAGGCATCAAGTGTTTTGCGCTTTACAAATATTCAAGAATAATAATACAATAATACAGTTAATGCTGACCGGATGCTTACTCGCTGTGAGGCACTGTTCTAAGCACTTTAGTATATTAACTCATTTGGTCTGCACAACAGATTTCTGAGTTAGACTGCTTCTCTTATACGGGGTTGGGCAAAACTAAGTTTATAGTTGTTAGTATGGAAAATAATACAGTAACTAATAAATAAGAATACAAGAATAAACTTGGGTTTTGGGTACTCACAGCTATAAACTTACTGTTGCCACACCCTATATTCTAATTTTGCAGATGAGGCCAACAAGGCACAGAAAGGCTAACTCATGCAAAGTTAGTGAGTAAAATGAAACTGCATTTAAACAAATAAATCATACGTATCTATTTATTATCCCCACTTGAGGATATGTTTACTGATTTGAGAGAGAGAGAAGGAGAAACATCAATGTGGGAGAGAAACATCTATCTGTTGCCTCTTGTACATGCCCTACCCAGGGATCAAGCACACAACTTCGGTGTGTGCCCTGACCAGGGATCAAACCTGCCACCTTTTGGTGTGCGTGATGACATTTCAATCAACTGAGTCACCCGGTCAGGGCATAAATTTTATATTTTTAGAACAGTTTTATATTTAGAGGAAAATTGTGAAGATAGTATATGGTGAATTCCTCTATGCTCAACTCCCAGTTCGTCCTAGTATTATTATCTTATTAGTATGGTGCATCTGTTACTATTAATGAATTAATATTGATACCTTATTGCTAACTAAAGTTCATACTTTATTCAGACTTCCTTCATTTCTACCTAAATGTCCTTTTTCCGTTGCAAGACCCTATCCAGGATTCCATGTTACATTTACTCATCATGTCAGTCTCCTCTGGGCTGTGACAGTTTCTCACACTTGACCTGTTTGTGATGACTCTGGCAGTTTTGGGAATACTGCTCAGATGTTTTGCAGAATGTCTTACTCACCTGGGATTTGTCTGATGTTTCCCTCATAATTAGACTGAGGTGAGTTTTGGGGAGGAAGACCGCAGAGGTAAAGTGCCATTTTCATCGCATCGTACCAAGGACACATACTCCCAGCCTGACTTACCGCTGTTGATACTGACCTTGATTGCTTGGAAATAGCTGCATTTTGAACCCAAACAATTAATATGTAGATTTCATGCTTACAGACCAGTAGGCAGTTCTCTGTGACTATTCAATCACCTTGTTCAACTTGGATTAACATAGCAGTTAACGACTGGCTCTGACTGGTGCCAGCTTCTCTCTCCAGTTAATTTTCTTATCTAGTTCTTGAAAACAGTAAGCCTGTCTGGCTTACAGGTATATTCGCTTGACGCAGCCTCAAATCTTCATCTGCTGTCAGCAGACCTGTCTGATTGGTTGCTTGCTACTCTGTGTTTCCACTATAGATCTCCTGAATCCTTGATCAGATGATTTGCTATTCCTCGACTCAGCCTGAAGGCATTTAGGTCCTCCTCCCCAAACATGGGGTTATCTTCATAATACGAGCTTTTCTCCAGAGCTCTCTCCTTCTTGACCCTCTTTGTGTTCTCTCTGCATCTCCTTGTTTAAACCAGTCTGGTTTGGTTTGAAATTAAAATTTTCTACATTTCCACATGAAACATTCTATTTCCAAAGATGGCAAAGATTAAACTATAACGCACTTCTGTCTGGGATGGACAGATGACATTGTCTTCCCTCAAACACACATACCCATTCATAGTATGGATTCCCGGGACGTCAGCTATGGAACCTCTCCCCAGAAAACACTTTCTGTGTGGGTGCAGGTGCAGCCATGTATATGCATATGTGTGTGTGAAATATTTTGCATACAGTTCAAGCAGTTCTTGAACCCCTAATACCTATC